CAGAGGGAGAAGCAGGCTCCCCGATGAGCAGAGGGCCTGATGTGGTCCAGGATCATGACCCGAGCCGAAGGCAGCTGCTCAACCAACTGAGCCACCCAGGTGCCCCCAAGCCTTTGTTTTTATCCCTAACTCAGCTGCCTCCCTGCCAGAAGGAACAAGAAAACCTTCTGCCCATTTACATTTTCCCAAAATGTGACCCAGTGCCCACCGCACACCCATCCAATTTATAATGTTTTTCCCGGAGTAAGCTATGAGCACTGGACTTTGTCAGGTTCTTTGGATCATGCATCGTGGTCCCTTTGTTCTCGCTGGAGTTAACTTTCTTGCAGTCTAGTCTTTACCGGGAGCCAGCGTGAGTCCCAGGACCCTGCCGGCTTCCCGCTTCCCCGCCGCCAGAGCTGTAGGCCGGGACTCTGCGCCGCCAAGCGAGACCGCTCCTTCGGCGCCTAGGTGCTAAGAGCCAAGAGCTAGCGGGAAAGACAAAAAGAGGTCCCTGTGTGTGACGGCGCACGCGTTCAGGTAGGCTGGGACAGCGCAGATCCCGCAGCGATCTTACGCTCCCGCCGCTTCCGGGGCCCGCCCCGCCCCTCGGGCCAACGCCCTGCTCTTCCGAGTCTCTATGGTACCAACTTCCACCGCGCGCCACTCCTCGCGAGACTTCGGCGGCGCAGCAATGGCGAGATCGTGAGTGCCGCTGACGGGAGTCAGGCGAACGGGCTGGGACGGGGCTCGGGCGAGATCGGGCCGGGGGAGACCCGGCAGGCCAGGGCCGCCTGGAGCGGAGCGGCGACTGGGGGCGCGAGGCCCCTTGGGGCCGGGACAGCCGCCCACGACCAAGCTCCCGCCTCTTCCCCAGATGCCGCGTCACTGCTCCGCCGCCGGCTGCTGCACACGGGACACGCGCGAGACGCGCAACCGCGGCATCTCCTTCCACAGGTCAGCGCGCGTGCGTGCTGGCGCGGGAAGGTTAACGTGCGCATGCACCCGTTTTTCCCCTCTTCGTGGAGACACGATTGCGCATGTGCCATCTTCTCTTTGGCGCGAGGCTTGTACTTGTAGATGGGAGAGGGTGAAAGGGGCGGTGCCGGTGCGACTGAGTCTAGGTGGGAGAGGAAGCACGGGAGATCACCAGCCTGGGGCCTTATGTTCTGTGACTCTTACCTGCTAGGTGGTACTAAGGAAGTTGCTCTCCTTGAGGCCTCAGTTTCCTCATCTGGGCTTGGGAGGACGGTGTTTACCCGGAGAGGTGAAGGGAGGTCTGGTGGTGGCGTGTGCAGGACCAGCCCTTGCCGTCTGGAGAGCTTGGGCAGCTGGAGCCCAGGGTTGCAGACACCCTGGTGCTCACTGGTCTGTGGCTCCACAGACTTCCCAAGAAGGACAACCCGCGGCGAGGCTTGTGGCTGGCCAACTGCCAGCGGCTGGACCCCAGCGGCCAGGGCCTGTGGGACCCGGCTTCCGAGTACATCTACTTCTGCTCCAAACACTTCGAGGAAAACTGCTTTGAGCTGGTGGGAATCAGGTGAGCTTCCTTGGCAAGCATCGCTGGGGCAGGGTTTGAAGCATCAGAGTGGCTAGCCGATTGGGGCAGCTCTAGGGCCGGGAGAGGAGGATCCTGGAGTCACTCGCTGGGGGACAGACAGACCTGGTTCCCAGTGTGGCTGCATCTTTCCAGCTTTGTACCTCAGTGACAGTTAAGACCCGTCCCCTCAGGATAACTGTGCCAGTGACAAGGGAGAAAAACATTAGCTTTTTCAGAGGTTGTTCCTTAGGACCTAAGTCCTCCCAGCAAGCCCACAGTGAAATTACACTTTTGGCTGGTCAGCCTAGCTCTGGTGCAGCCTTTCTACACACTGAAATTTCGAGGAAGAGAATGGTGTCACTCTTATCTAACTTGGTTTTCCCTAAATTAAGTGCTTGCAACATGCCTACCCACCTCCTGTAGCGCTAGTGTGGGAGAGCCCGATCTGGGGCGCTGGGGGCATGCTAGCTCTGTGCCCTGCGGGTTGCCCTGGGTGGCAGGATGTGTTGTCCATCTCATCCAGGCTGCTTTCCCCCACAGCGGGTATCACAGGCTGAAGGAGGGGGCAGTTCCCACAATATTTGAGTCTTTCTCCAAGTTACGCCGGACAACCAAGACCAAGGGGCACAGTTACCCACCTGGCCCCCCCGACGTCAGCCGACTCCGGCGATGCAGGAAGCGGTATGTGTGCTGTGGGTGGAGGGTGCCTTGCTCCCATCCCAAGCCTGAGAGACGGGTTTATTTAGTTTGTTTGCCAGCAATCTTGCTGGACAGGGTTCTGAGCCAGCAGAGTGGGCTCGGTGGGCTGGTGAAGTGGAGTCTGGCATGGCCTTGGCCTGGCCTATTATCTCTCTCTCTCTCTCCTCTCAGCTGCTCTGAGGGCCGAGGGCCCACGACTCCATTTTCTCCACCTCCCCCTGTTGATGTTACCTGCTTTCCTGTGGAAGAGGCTTCGGCCCCTGCTGCTTTGCCTGCCTCCCCTACTGGGAGGCTGGAGGCTGGCCTCAGCAGCCCCTTCTCAGACCTCCTGGGGCCCCTGGGTGCCCAGGCAGATGAAGCAGGCTGCAGCGCCCAGCCCTCACCGGAGCGGGAACCAGAGAGACAGCCGTCCCCGCTTGAGCCACGGCCTGTCTCACCCTCGGCCTATATGCTGCGCCTCCCACCCCCGGCCGGCGCCTACATCCAGAACGAGCACAGCTACCAGGTGGGCAGCGCCCTGCTCTGGAAGCGGCGGGCTGAGGCCGCACTTGATGCCCTGGACAAGGCCCAGCGCCAGCTGCAGGCCTGCAAGCGGCGAGAGCAGCGCCTGCGGCTACGGCTCAGCAAACTGCAACAGGAGCGGGCACGGGAGAAGCGGGCACAGGCAGATGCTCGCCAGACTCTGAAGGAGCATGTGCAGGACTTTGCCATGCAGCTGAGCAGCAGCATGGCATGAGTGAGGGGCTGTTGGCCCCAGGGCTGACATGAAGGGCTGCCTGGTGGGGCTTCAGCCTCATCCTCCCTCGGAATCCGCCTGGAAAGGGACCCAGTCTGAGCTGTGTCCACCAGACCTGCCAGATGTAATAAAGTGGATTCTAGGAGGCCCTGCTATCTGGCTCAGCTGGGGCTGGGGCCCTACCCCTGGAGTCTGAGCTCTCAGCTACGGAGAGCAAGAAGTCCCAACTCTTTCCTGCCTCTCCTCCTGCAACTCCAGCCACCCCCCCAGGGTTTTCTGAGGGACAGGATGGTGTGAGCAGAGGCCAGGGGCAGCACTAGGAACCCTCTTCTTGGTACCTGAACAGCCCAGACTTAAGCAGTCTCACCTCTCTGAAAAAAACACTCATGACACCCAGGCCAGATTCAGTTTGCAAGGATACCTGCATGGCTTCCATCCGCTGGCCCGGTCGGCCCAGCATGGCACCTCAACCCCAGCCTGCAGACCAGCTACCTACCCCCTTAACCACTGTGCTGGGCTCATCTGAAAAACGGACAAAGATGGCAATTTCTGACCTGGTGCTATATGCTTGGCAAGTAGTAAGGGCCCAGCAATGACACTTCTGGGCCCAGATGTTTGGGAGGAGGTGGGCAATCTTAGAGGCACCCTTGCAGATAGCAACCCTGGCCTCAACCTGAGTCCCCATTGTTGTTCAAGTTGACTGGAATGTAGGCATCCCCACACCTGTGATGGGCAAATGGCTCAGGGTGCTGGCTGGTTTTAACTGCACACGTAATCTCCCTGCTGGGTTTCGGCCACGATAGCCCAAGAGCATAGCTAAAATCTCCCTAGTCCTGGAAAGTGCCACGCAATGTCCTGAAATTGGCTTTCTAGGGTCCGTGGTGTGTAAGTTCATTTATTCATGGGTTTAGAAGAGGTCAAGCAACTGGTTATAAGGGTCCACCATAGAGCAGGGTCTGCCCATCATTCCCTGGAGTTTCCAGGCTCAGAGAGGCTTGTCTTGCACTGGCCCGTTTCCTTGTTTGCTGGCGGCCTTATGGACTCCCCATGCCTAAGGGCGCCTCCCTGTCACTGGGGCTCCCCATCTGTCTGTATAAGGCACCTGTCTGTATATGACATCTGTCATTAAGGGCCGAGGCATGGCAGGTGCCATGTTTGCATGGGGGCACAATGGGAAGGAAGGTGTGAAGGATTGTTTCCCCCAAAGTAGCTTCCTGATAGCTAGGGCAAGAGGGTCCCTGGGGTTCTTGCTGCCAGAAAGGAGGCAGAATAGTGCTTTCTGTGTTAGTGTGGAGTCCCAGGGCCTTCTGTTGACAGATGAGAAGAATGTGGTGGCCAGTCCTTAGCTTTCTAGCCTAGGCAGGAGCCTCTAATGCAGTGTGGGAGCAAGACAGCCTTGGGAATCCAGGGTTCCCCTTGAAGCACAGCCCTCCCCCACCCCCACAACTGGGACACCTCAGATGGGGCGGGGAGTTGCCAACCCCGAGTCCTGGCGTGTCCCAAGCGCTTTGGACACATGTTCTGTCCCCCGCTCAGGGAGGGCCTATGCCCATGAGGTGTGTCTAGTAGATTAGCACTACTGTGGTCTTAATGGCATGTCTATGACAATAAATAATTAGGGATACATGGGGACCGGGGGGGGGGCCACCTCCACTGACTTCTCCCTGGCGCAGCTGGGGGCCCCTGATGTGCACACAGTGGGGAGGGATCCTGCAACTCCTCTGGAAGCCAGGCCCTGGCCAGAGTGGCCCTTCAGGCTAGGTGTTGACTCGGGGCCCTTCACACCCCAAAATTCATCTGGAGTCCAATTCCATGTGCCCATTCACAAACTGTGGGTGGCAGTAGGGGCCCTTAACAGCCACTTCCGTGAAGGTGAGGGGGTACTGTGTAGCTCCCACGTCAGAGGGGCCTTGGCATTACGACCCAGCGGCCAAATCCACAAGCCATGCAGTCCCTGCTGGATGGGCGGCCCCACACCAGGTCCATGATGGGCTCTCCCATTGCTGGGCCCTGGCTTTCCACCCATACCTCCATCTGTGGAGAGGATTCTGGCCAGGGTTGGGGGGAGGGTATCTGTTTCAACATCCACTCCCTGTGGGACCTGTGTCCTCAGCAGTGAAACGGGGCAGAGACCCCGTGTTCCCTTTCCCTTTGAAGGCTCGGGGAAGCCGGCCCCTTGGCTGACAGGTCCAGTAGTCTGCAGTGGGCAGGGCAGGAGCAAGCACGGTGATTCCTGAGTGGGCCAGCACCACGTGGGCCCTCATATGTCAGCGCCCAGCTCCGCGCACTGCTTGTCAGAGATGTGGGAGGCCAGGGAGTCTATGATGTCAAGGAGCAGCTGCTGGCTCAGCGAGCGCAGCGTGGGTAGCTTGGAGACCTGCGGGAGGCAATTGGAAGGAACTGGATGGAACGAGACTCCCGTGAGGGCCAGGGTGCCCTTCAGAGTCCACCCCCACACACACACCCGAGCTCTCGCGAGCCAGGGTACAGGTTGATTGAGTGCCCCCCCCACACCGCCCCCGGGGCCTACCGCCGCAGGAGAGAAGCTGCTTCCATGCGCCCCAACCCGCACCCGGCCAAGGCCAATGCCAAGGGCCGGGTGGCCAGTGCAGGGCTGAGAGGACCCTGACCTTGGTGAACTGGTGCACGATGATGTGCAGGCAGTGCCGCTTCATGTCCAGCGCCTGCGTCTTGTCGGCCGCCTCCAGGATCTGGAACAGCAGGTTCCTTGAGGGGCTGCTCCCTCTCTCAGCCACCCGACCCCCCGAGGCTTCAAGGAGGCCCATGGGCACCCGTGAGCTACCTGCAGTACATTCTGCACAGTCACGTTCATCTCCAGGTTCTGCTTGCAGTACGCCTGCAGCCGGTTGTTGTAGAAGCCGTAATAGTAGGGGGCCGCAAACAGGTAGCTGGGGGCTAGTTAAGGAGCTGCTGGCCCAAGGAGCTTGTCCTCCCGCCACCTGCCCATCTCCCCGGGGAGGGTGCAGCTGGAGCCCCAGGCCCAGCAGAGACAGAGGAAACCTGAGCTGCCTCCTGCCTGCTCAGAACAAGGAAACCCACCCTGACACCAGGCGCTGGCCCAGGGCTCCCATCCAACATGCTCTCTATACAGACTCTGAAGTACTCAGGGCTTCGTCCAGACCCGAAAAAAATCCCAGAAAGCCTCTCCTAAGAAAACACCCACATTCCCATTTGGAGGACTGACCATGGCCTCAGAGCCCTGGAAGGCATCTCGCACCCAGTTCAGACCCCTAAGGAGTGACAGGACCAGGAATCCCACCGTGGTGATCTACTCACCTGTCACATGGGACCTTGACCGACCCCTTCCTCTGGCCAGTGATGAGGGTCAAGAATCCACCCACCCCTCCTGGCTGCAGACCCTCTGTGCCCACCGACCAACCCCTTCAGGGAACCCCGGGAGAGCACCAGGGAATCCTTGGAGCGGGCAGCCAGGACCAGTCTGCCAGTCTCCAAAGCCGCCTGAGGTGGGCCCTGGGTGCGCCCCCTGGCGGGGAGGATGCAGAGAGTCCTCGGGCGGCATGTTGACCTCCCCGTAGTAGATGTAGCGCAGCATGGACTCGAAGGCCTGCCTGCTGGGCACCATCTCCCCGATGGAGATGTTCACCTGGCCGTCCTCTGGCATGAAGGACCGGAACATGGCCTCAAAGTAGCTGCAAACAGGGGCAGGGGGTTCCTGGCTCACAGCAAATGCAGGCAGGGTGCGGGCCTGCCCAGCTCCACCACCACACACCACTCCCTCCACCCACCTGGAGCGGGCGGCCAGGATGGCCTTGTGGGCCGGTCTCGGGTGCCCGTCCAGTAGCAGAGTGATGTCACAGAACTCCGCACCTGCTCCCTCCAGGTATGCCTTCATGTCCTGGATCAGAGATGTGCCTGGTGGGGAGCCCCAGGGGTAGTGTGGGGGGACCTTGAGCAGAGGCCTCTTGCTCCCCCAGCAGACCCTGAGCCATTCGGGCCTCAGGGCTCCATGGACACTGCTTCTTGCCCATCTTGCTGCCCTGAAAACACCACCCCTGGGGGCAGAAGCCCTACTCTGGCCTGCCCCCCAGAGTCTGATCTCCCCAACTCAGCCCTGCGAGCCCTCCTCCCTTCCCTTGTGCTTATTAAGCTCCCTCTGGTCCTGGAAAGTACTGTGTCCTGACACATGTCACTCAGGGCCAACCGCCAGAGGCAGCACAGGCCCTGGGGAGTCAGGGGATGAATGAGACTGTGCTGTCCCTTCCCGGGCTAGGTGGGGACAAGGGAAGCACCAGAACATCTGAAGTGTTCGGACCGTGCTTGCCCCTCACTAGGCCCCAAAGGGTGGGCACACCTAGAAGAGTAGCTCAGGGACTAGTCACCGTGACTGTGGATGGGAGCCATCAAACCTGATGTTAGTCCGGGTAGCCACCCTTGCCAGACAGGGGCCCTGTGTCCACCTTCAGAAACAGGCTCAGGAGAATTCCCGCTCTCAGGATGCCCTGTGGGTCGGGGCGTCTTCCTTCCAGGGAGCCCGAGCTGTCTGCCTATGCCCCTGAGACCCAGAAGCACTCTGGGTCCCCTGCACACAGACCCCACCCTGAAGGCCGGGCAGGTCCTTCCACAGCTCCCATCTCTACCCAAGATGAATGCCATCCATCCCTGTCTGCTGCTCTCAGGGACGGGGCCTGGGTCCCTACCGATGTCCATGGGCTGCTCCGAGGGGGTGCGGGGAGGTGGCTGCTGCTTCCGCCGCACGATCTCCACGATCAGTGGCGAAGAGAGGCGCTCGAACTCCTTCATCATGATCACCTGGTTGAAGTGGGACTCCTTCACCACGAAGTTCAAGCAGTGCTCCTGGGACACACAAGCCGGAGCAGGCAGGCAGGGTCAGGCCTTGGCCCAAGGGGCAGCAGCCCGGATGGGATGGCTTGCCAGGGGCGGGGTGGGGGGATGGGGGGAGGGAGGGTTGCCAGAGTGCCAGCTGCGGTAGGCAGGCGGGGTGGGACCTGCATGCCGGCCGCACCTTTAACTGGCCCAGCTGCAGCCTGGCGGCGCTCTCGCACACAACCAGCACATTCTGCAGGTCCACGGAGGCTTCGATGTACTGTCGGCACAGCTGCTCCAGGCGGCAGAGCTGGAAGCTCAGGGCCAGCTTGTACACGTCCATGACGAGCAGCACGTCCTCTACGTGGCCTGCAGCCCAGAGCTCCCTGAGCCTCGGGGACGCACGGAGAGGGAGGAGGCACGCGGCAGCGCATAAGGGAGGACAGGGCCCGGGGCTCCTTCCGTGGACATCCGGGACAGTGGACAGCAACTCCACCACACGAGTGGTCGCAGATGGTCATGGCCGCTGAGCCTCAGGCTGTCCACCTGCCCACCCTGCTCCCCGCACCCCCTCACCACCGCACCTTTCCGCGGGTACTTGATCTTGTCCGTGTAGAGGAACTGCATGAGCACTTCGAAGGGCCGGGCCTCAGCCTCACGGATGGCCACGTGCAACAGGGGTGGCCGGGCTCCCCCCGCTGCCCCACCAGGGACCTCCCTGGGAGCCGGGGCTGCCTCCTCCTCCAGTTTCTGCAGGGAGAGGAAGGGGAGCTCAGGGGCGCCCCAGGGCTGCTGGCGCCCTGGCCAGAGGGGCAGGGCCACACCTCACCTGGGCCAGCCGTTCCCGTGCCTGCACGATCTTCCTGCGGAGCCAGCGGCTCCGAGCAGTGACGATGGCCACATGGCCCTGCACGCACTCCTCTTTCTATAGCAAGAATGACACCTTGGTGGGCAACATGGGACCCTCCTCCTGGCAGGGATGGAGGCCCCGCCAGCCCCAGTTGGGGGGGCCTGGGATTTCAGGAGCGAGTGGGAGGCCAGTCGTGCCTCGGGGCACAGCCCTCACCCTACAGGGTGGCAGGCAGGCTGGGCACAGGGAAAGCACCCACCTCGCCCAGCACAAACTCCACATCGCAGAACTGGCGGCTCTCCCACAGACGCCCGTAGTCCTCATGCAGCGTGCACTTGGGGTAACAGGAGAACTGCCAAAGGAGACCCCAGTGTGGCCACTGGCCCAGCCCCTACCCTCCTCAGGGTGACACATTCCCAGCCCATCCACCCTGGCCGGCCCCCCTGCTGTCAGCCCGCCAGCCCCACCTGGAACCGGTACATCTCCCCACTGCGGATGTTGTTGTCCACTGTGCCCCCAAAGATGTACATGGCGTCTGAGATCACCGCGGCTGCGTGGAAGAGCCTTCCGCTTGGCAGCTGGGTGGAAAGGGGTGGGGAGACGGTAAGTAACCCCGACCAGTACTTCTCTGAGCCTCAGTCTGCCCATCTGTGAAAGGGGCTGACCACAGGACTGGCGCCGGGGAGGTGGCAGTGACAGTCTGGGCGCCAACCCTCACCTCAGATGCTGGCGGGGCAGGCTGCTTGGCTGTGGTGGTGCCAAAGTCCAGGCCAAATACATCACGGGACTTCTTGAAGCCACCTCGGTCCTCAGAGGCCAGGCCAGGCGCCTCCTCAGAAGATGATGCTCGCTCTGGCACCTCAGCCCCGCCGACCTGGAGGGGATGGACACGTGAGCATGGGACCAGTCTGCCAGGGCCAGGCCGGGCAGCAGACACCAATCTCCTGCCAACCTTGCTCGAGAGCAAGAGCGCTTGGGGCCACATCTGGGAGTGGCTGAGCCACGGGCTTGAGGGGCCCTGGCAGCACAGCTCAGATGGGACACCAGCAGCACTCAAGCTGGGAGTTTTGGCAGGACACCCACAGCACTGCACAGACAGGGCCCGAAGTGCCGTGTTGAAAGCCCGCAGGCTGGAAGAATGGAGAACAGGGGCCCAGGGCCTCGGGTCGGGCCAAGACAGGTATCCAGGGCCTCGGGCCTCAGTCATCCTGGCTCTCTCCTCTGGTGGGCTGTCTGGAGCCCCCCGGGGAGCCCCCTGAGGCTGTGGGAAGCTGTGGGGCATCAGGGGCAGCTAAGTCAGGATCCCCGCCCCCTTGGGCCACAACCCCCCCAGCCCTGCCTCGGGAGCCACGGCCACTGTTCCGGGCAGCACTTGCCTCGCTGTCGGAGCTGGGCTGGACGACCTCCCAAGTCTGGAAGTCCACATCGTAGCAGTGCAGCTCATTAGGCAGTGTGTTGTCCGCTGCGCCCCCAAACACATAGAGGTGGCGGTCGAAGGCCACCATGGTGTGCCCATAGCGCCGCTGTGGGGGGGGTGGGGAGCCACGAAGCAAATGCTCGGTGGGGATGCGCGTCCACCTGGGGGCACGTAAGAGGAACCCAGTGCTGGAGTGGAGGCTCTGACTCCCCCACGTCCTCCACCTGGGGCACCCAGCTGGCTCAAAGCAGGGCCTAAGCGCATCCGCCCAGTGCCCCTCATCCCCTTTCGCTCTAGCAGCCACTCTGCCTGCACCCCCTTGGGCGTCCCCCCCCAGCCATAAAGCAGGCAGCAGCAGCAGGCGGGAGGGGTGGCCTCTGTACGGTGAGGCAAACCCACTCTCTGGGGAACAGAGACGTGTCCACAACTCGGACACGTGTGACAATCCCCACAGCCAAGTTAAGTCCTTGCTCCCAGGACTCCCAGGACTCCACCTTCTGACGCTGCTCCTACATCCACCACCCTCCCAGGACTTCCCAACACCTTCCAGCACATCCTCTCTTTGAAACCCAAATGATCCTGGCCAGGCAGGCCACGCCATCTGGCTCCAAGCTGCTCCCCACTACTGCCCCCGCACCTGCTGCCCCTGCCAGCGGGTGGGGGCTGTAGGGGGGCCATTCAGCAGGCAGGAGATCTGCCTGTGCAAAGCCCAACTCCGGGTGGCAGGGGCCCTCGATGCCCATCTGGGGGGTGGGGGTGGGGCGGAGGAGCTCTGTAGGAGACTCCATGCTAAGCACCTCACACCAGCAGTGTGTCTCCATGGGAGATGGTACCTGTGTGAGGCCCACACGGCGGGATGTGCCCCCCTTGCACAGCCTCAAGCAGGCCGGGTGCGTTTGTTCCACCTACGTGGGGACGAGGGTTGGGGAGCAAAGGGTGCAGGCATGATGCCGGCCAGGCGGCCGTCAGGGGTGCCCACCACCAGTCCCAGCACCAGGGCGCTCACGTCTTGTCTTTGAATTCGAACTGAAAGAGGTTGTTGGTTATCTTGGCTCCACTCTGCCCTGAGAACACGAACATCTTGTCCCGGCACACGGCCACTGGGAAGTTGCAGCAGGACGGCGGGATCTCGCCGCTCTGAGCCACCTGGGGTGGGGAAGGCAGCTCAGCCAGGGCCCTCATGGGACTGGGTGTGCAGGTGACACCGCTGAATCGGGACGACTTTCATTCTTGAAACTTCTTCCATCAGTCAGGGTTCCTAGACTAATTTCTGTAGAACAGAGTAGAGCCCCACCTCGTCCACCTAAAATGGGCCCAGTTTCTAACAGTTGAGGCTAAAAATCATCACTACAAGTGAAAGATAACCCAGGGTAGAGACAACGGAGCAGTCGGACAGATCGCCCAGAAAGAGCAACAAGTAGGACACCCGCCAGCGGGCTGAACTCGCTGTGTTCAAGTAAGGGTGGGTTCTACCCAAGCCACACCAGTCACCAGACGTGACTCGATGCAAAACCCAGAGCCTTTAGTCACTAGGTAAGGGCAGCGGAGATCGGGCAGGAAGTCGGCAAGGAGGCGGCTGAGGACAAGGCTGGGCTTTGGCAAGAGGAACAAAGCAGCCCCTCCCCGGCCCCCCAAAACCCTCATCTCCCTGCCTCCCCTGCCCCATCCTGGCCCCCCAAACTCCTCACCTCCTCCCAGCATGTGAGCTCTCGGTCCTGGAGGCCAATGGTCCACATGTCATTCAACCTGCATTAGGACAGGGGAGTCAGGAGCTCCGAAGCTGGGGCTGGCGGCAGGGTGGGCCTGGGCCCAGCCAGGAGGGATGGCTCCAGGGAAGGACACATCACACAGGGCTCGGATCAGGGGCCTAGGGAGCAGCCATGAGGTGGGAGCTTCAGGGCAAGGGGGGCTGGCTGAATCCCTTCTCTATGCACCCTGCCAGACAGGAACACGTGGCCTCATGCACAATGTCTAGCCACTGTGGCAATGTCAATCTCATTGGGCTGACTCCTGGGGGCTAAAAGAGGAGTTCCAAGAGGCAACACTCGCAGAAGCTACCACTAAGGGGCGCCTGGGTGGCTCAGTTGTTAAGCATCTGCCTTCGGCTCGGGTCATGGTCTCAGGGTCCTGGGGTCGAGCGCTGGATCGGGCTCCCTGCTTGGTGGGAAGCCTGCCTTCTCCCTCTCCCACTCCCACTGCTTATGTTCCCTCTCTCACTGTGTCTCTGTCAAATAAAAAAAATTTTTTTTTAAGATTCCATTTATTTATTTATCAGAGAGAGACTGAGTATGAGCAGGGGGAGCAGCAGGCTCCAGGCTGAGCAGGGAGCCCGATGCAGGACCCTGGGATCATGACCTGAGCCGAAGGCAGATGCTCAACCCTCTAAGCCACCCAGGCTCAGAGCCCCAAATAAATAAAATCTGTTCAAAAAAAAGAGAGAGAGAGAGAGAGAAGAAACTACCACTAACATTGTCACCGCTTGGAGTTGGTCATTCTTCTTCTTTTTTAATTAAAATTTTTTAGTAACTGCTACACCCACTATGGGGCTCAAAACTCACAACCCCAAGATCAAGCTCTTTCAACTGAGCCTGCCAGGCGCCCTACCCCTTGGAGTTTCTATGATGCTGAGATCTTGGGGAATGAGCACATACTACTTTTATAATCAGAAAAATACAGCAAAGCCAATTGTCTAAAATGAGGGGGAAAATGCCCAGTACACAGGCAGGAACCCTGTGTTGTCGTCCACAGGGGAGGGGCTGGGTCTGAGGCCTGCTTCTGCCACCACGTGCTCACATAGGCCCCTCAGGGTCCCTCTTCACTTCGGGCCTGAGGATTTTCTTTTTTTTTTTTTTTTAAACAGATTTTTATTTATTTATTTGACAGAGAGATCACAAGTAGGCAGAGAGGCAGGCAGAGAGAGAGAGAGGAGGAAGCAGGCTCCCCGCGGAGCGGAGAGCCCGATGCGGGGCTCCATCCCAGGACCCTGAGACCATGACCTGAGCCAAAGGCAGAGGCTTAACCCACTGAGCCACCCAGGCGCCCGGGCCTGAGGATTTTCACCCAGCAATTCAGGGAGCCACCATCTACCCCACAGCTCTGACAACACCCAGCCAACCCAACACCCACCCAACACCCAGTGCAGCCAGGAGAGACCAGCACGTCTGCAACAGCTGTGCAAGTGTGGGCCTGGCCTGCTGCCCCCTTGGATGCCCCCAGGAGGCGTCCTCGGTGGGACTGGGCGGGAGTGTCCCTCAGTCGCCCTCTACCCCCATCCCACCCATCATCTTCTTCCCCTCACTCCTGTGCACACGACCCTCCTGAGACTCCCTGCCAGCCCGAGCCTGACCCCGCCAGGAAGGCCCGCTCCGGGGCTCAGGACACTGGTGGGGTTGCTCAGAGGTGGGGGGCTGGGCACCCCCTACCTGGCATTGCCGTCGTAGCCAGCGAAGATCCACAGCTTGTCACTGTACACTGTGGCGCCGTGGGCAGACCTGGCGACCGGCAACCTGTAGCGCAAGGCTGGGGTGAGGAGCAAGGCCACCCGGCACAGACCCGAGCCTCACAGCCCCACGGGGCCAGCCGGGCCCCCAGAGCTGCCACGCCTACATTTGCTGATGCCAGGGCTCTGGGGATGCCAGCCAGGGGTCATGAGGCTGAGCTCATGAGGCAGGGGCAGGGGGATGAGGAATTCAGATGTTCACGGGGTAAAGCCCCCTCCCGGCCAACACCAAAATATCAAAGCTGGGGGTAGGGGTGTTCCTCACCAAGCTGGACCAGAGAAGTGCCCATCAGCAGTCCACTGGGGCCCCCTCTGCACTTTGAAAGGAGATAATCTAAGGGCAGGGTGGAGGCCTCAGACAGGCACAGCTGGGAGTGAGCACAACTCAGGCCTCTCTGGGCCTCGGGCTCTTCTTCTGTAAGGCTACAGGGGACCCAGTGCAGGAGCCTTTAGGACACCCCTCACCCCCTGAAGGTTTCAGCGAAGTCTCTCACCGTCCTTCAATCTTCCACTCCGTCCACTGGCCAGTTGCAAACTTATATTCAAAAAGGTCATTTTTATTCTTCAAGTTAGAATTGGAGTAAATGTCCCCAGTGTAGCCCCCTGGATAGAGAGAGGGAGAAACGGTCATACCCAAAGACAGCCTCTCAGAGGCTTTAAACCCCAGGAGACAGGGGCAAAAGCTGGCCTCCCTAGACGTGTCATGGGATTTCCTCTGTCAACCTTGGGGAGAACCTACTGCCTGCCTGACCCCGCCATGGGCTCTGGGGATCCAGAAATGAGCAGAACCCTGTCCTCTGCCCCTGGCGGAGTGACAGAGGAGGGAAGAGAGCCACCACCCTCCCGCCCGGTCACAGTGGCAGACCATTCCAACCCCACGAGAGCGGCACAGTGAGGGAAAGGGACCCAGAGGGCCACAGGGGCCCTTGCGAGGCCCCTAGGCCAGTGCAGGAACCCAGAGGACTCCGGCAGAAAAAGACAGCATATGGACAGAGAGAGACTGGCCGGGCACCGCGAGCGAGCCCCGGGCCAGGTGGCAGGACAAAGGAGCTGCAAGCCCTAAAGAGGGCACGGGGTCCCGGAGGTAAGAGGCAGCTCACCGAAGACGAACATGCTGCTTCCGTAGACAACAGCTGAGTGGTGGTAGCGGGGGGCCGGCGGGGTGCCGGTGGTGAAGGCCCTGGTGTTGGGGGGGATAAGTTGCAGGGTGGGGAGGGGGTGGTCAGTCAGCAGGGGTCAGCTGTGCAGTCCAAGCTGCACAGGGCACCCCCTGCCAACCCCAGGATTCCTTTCATTTTTTGCATTTTATAGGCAATACCTATCTCATTATAGAATCTTTATATAATTTTATTTTTTTCAGCAGGCTCCACAGGGACCAGCATGGAGTCCAACACGGGGCTTGAACTCCCGACCCTGAGATCAAGACAGGAGCTGAGACCAAGAGTCGGATGTTCCACCAACTGAGCCACCCAGATGCCCCTCGTTATAGAAACTTGGAACAAAAATGGCTGATAAAGAAGGAAACAGAACCAGTGAAAGACTTGCCAGAAAGCTCCATCTGTAGCTTTAAGTCACCTCCCACCCCCCA